GAAACAAAGAGACGACGAAGAACCAAAGCCACACCGAAGAGGGATGGAGACAACAACAACCAGACCGAAAGGGCTCGAAAGAAGGGATGCGACAGGGTTCGAGAGAGATAAGAATGCACCAGGGTTCAAGAGAAAACAAAGCACCAGGTTCGAAAGAGAGGAAAGCTCGAGCTGAGAGTGAACATAGGGTTCCAGCTTCCGCGTAATTAGAAATACATTTTTCTAAAATTATTTCCCAAATCCGTATATAATATCTGCAGATAAAATTTGGTTCCAACTACATACGGATAATACAGGTTATATATAGATCTTATCCTTGGGTAATTTTCCTTCCACCCCGCGCCAACATTATATACGGATATTATATACGTATTATCCGTATATAAAATTCCGTATATAATATCCGTATATAACGCCTTTCTTTAACATCCGTACATAATTTCCGTATATAATGCCCGCTTTACATACAACTCTAGATCCGTATATAATGTTCCGTATCTAATTCCATTATTTCTTGTAGTGTACGGTTTGAACAAACAATAGTCTTGGACGGAAGTTAGAGATATCCAACCCCGCTTGGCGAGCGGCCGGACATTGTAGTAATGAAGAAAGATAGAGATAGTAGGAATGATCGCTAAGGCAGAGCACATAGCCACAAATGCTTGCATGCAGGCCCACCCGTTGGGTTACAGCTGGGAAGGGGCGATGTTCAGCCTTTGAAGTACGGTCGATTGGAACGCAGTAAAGGGCACCCGGATGAACATCTGGTTGAACATAGGGGACCTTGGAGCCGATCCCCCCTCCTGATCGGTCCTTTCAAGAAAGGATGATGACACGGAGCTGGGGAATGAAGACCTGTTGCCATCAGACGAATCCCCTCTGTCCCTGCCTGCTGACCCATCTGAAGAAGATACATGAACAGTAGCCATTTATTAATTACCTTGGAAAAAGAATGCTAAGCCGAATAGAAGAAATGGAAGAGAGAGGAGATGTGTGAAAATGACAACACCCCACACTCCTATTTATAGCATAATTTTTGAAACCGCCAACTCATATCAGCCATCGAAATCTAACACGATCCTTGGAAAAAGAATGCTAAGCCGAATAGTAGAAATGGAAGAGAGAGGAGATGTGTGAAATTGACAACACCCCACACTCCTATTTATAGCATAATTTTTGAAACCGCCAACTCATATCATCCATCGAAATCTAGCACGATCCACGGTCCAGATCAAGCGGCGGTCCCACTACCCGAGGACGATAGCTTATGACAACACAACACGTGTTTTCCCACCCAAACCCAATTCAAAAAGCATCGACCAGTCCTCCAATATTGTAAAACCCAATGACAATCAAATTGTCTAGGGCTTGGGGGGCCTGATGTACTGGTGATCCCCAGACGGCGTCGACGAACTGTACCCGAGAAACATCAACGTTGGATGGCCGTGACAGGTGGGTTTCCGAACATGATTAAGGTAAACCACTAATTAAGGATGATTGGGCTATGGATTGGGCCGTGATTACGGCTTTGCTAATCCGAAGCCCACAACTAAAACTATAAATACAGGTCAAAGGCAAGAGGTAGAGAGGTTCATTAATCACACATTTATTACAATGCTTAACTTACCAAACAGACTATCACTAACTTTGGCATCGGAGCACCTTTAGCAGGTACGGTGCACAGGAGATTGAACAAGGCTTGACTGGATGGAGAGAACCGAGATAGCATGGACCGAATGACGCTTGGAGGAAATTGTCAGGGCTTAGGTGACCCTATAACGGAACAATAGGCTTTAAAGTCAGCCAACACCTCTTTGCACATTCTAAATGGAGGCCCAAAGCCTGACCAAAGGATCCAACAAAGCCCATTCCAGCCCATGAAGAGGGATATCCAAAAGAGGAGCCAAGAAAGTCTACACGGGTTGCGCTCAACGCCAACCCTTGCAGAGCTCATCGTTAGCGAATCACATTTCCAACAGCACATTTGGCAGCACGTGGGAATGATGCCAAGCTACTTCCAACACATTGCCCACACCTAGACACATGGATTAGGATCCAGATTTCACGCTGATTATCATCCTCCATTAGATCACCGTATGGGTTGGCTTGAAAACCTTATAAAAACACACCCATCATCTTGTATTAAGGAATTTTTGAATGAAATGAGAGTTTATCATGCTAAAGCATTTCCAGCAATCAGACTCTGCCCAAAAGTCACTCTACTTGAGCTTTCCCACCTCCAACTAGCTTCCTTCCAGTGAAGGCCGTCTAAGCTAGATATTTCACCCTCCAAACAACTCTTCATCCATCATCAACATCACCGATTCACCTCTGCATCATCGCTACCAAACTCTGGTTCATTTCTTCTGCTGCCAATTGAATCCTATGAGCCAACTCCACCTCTACTGCCATATCCATACATCATTCTGTTGCTTCATATCATCCATTAGCTGGAATGTAACTCATCAAGTGGTATCCAGAACTCTGGTTTTCCACATCACACTCCAGCTAAGTTGATTCCCGTCCATTCCACACTGTCATATATTTCCATTCGTGTTTTTTGTTTCTACAGTACACTATTACATTAAGTGTTTCAATTCTAGTAGATTCCATTGCGTTGATTCGTTTGTTCCATCTTTGATTGATTTATTTCCATCATTTTAATCGGTCCATTTCTTTGATTGAGTATTTTAATTTTGAAATCTGATCTGTCATGTTCAATCATGTCCAATTGGTTCAAATTGTCAAATTTTGAAGTAAATTTGTGCCTGGATAAATCTGTGACTTGAATGGTTATTCAATAGTTGCACACTATAAGAGCAATGATTCAAAGAGCTCAAGTGCAACCTGATTCCATCAAGTGCAGTACCAATATTCATAGTAATTAAATCTGATTTCAATTTAATTGAATATGCACCGTGTGAAAAATGAATTTATGGATGTGTTTGAGTTGCTGAAAATGTGATGTGTGCATACCATATGAAGAGTGAATTGTCTAACATAATAAACCTGGTTGCACCATCCTATAGAATCCATAAATCTTTGCCGAAGCAGTTGGACTGAACTGCACAATTCCTTGATTGAGTTTTCTGAATTGTTTTGTGATTTTTGAATCTGTCCAATTTAGAACTCCCTGCTAGACCTCTTTTAATTCATTCCTAGAGTCTTGTTCAAGTTTGATTTGTTGTCCTAGAGTCATAAAATTGTTTCCAAAACAATTTGATTCATATGTTGAGTTTTGGTTGGTGAATTGGCCTAATTTTTGGTGTTAAGAGCAACTCACATAGTGAAATTTTGATTTGCAAGTATTTAGCCTCTGTTAGCAGCTTATACAAGTCTTATTTGGTAAAAAAAAGTTGGTCAAATCATAAAATTAAGTGTTCAAACTCGTTTGTGCAAAATTTCCATTTAAACCACCAAATTTTTCAACACTTTTTCTGATAAGTTGCATAATTTTGTGAATTTGTTCTTGATGTGTTTATTGCATCATATTACATCTCAAATTGGTAGTAAAAGCTTGGTTCAATTGATTAAAAAGAAGTGCACAACTCAAATTTAACAAAACAACCTACATTGTAAAAAGCAAGTGAACTAGTGCCAAATAAAGTTTCAAAAATATGATGCACATTTGCCAGCAACAGTTCCAAATAAAGTTTCAAAAATATGATGCACATTTGCCAGCAACTCTCTTAGACATTTCATCAAACACTTTTGCCTATTTGAAATTTGGTTTCGAATTGGCCATATCTGCAACTTATAATTGTTTCTTGCTTTTTAAATCCACTCTAGAGCCTCTCCTAAGTTCATTTTGAGTGACATGCTTCGTTGCAAACTGCTTAATTGATTGATTTAAATTGATTGAAAATTCTGACATAAGCTGTTCGATAAAACTACAACTGTGCATTATGAGTCTGCATTTTTTGGCAACAGCTGAGCTAATTTTCTAACTTCTTAATTGTTTGATGGTCGTGTGTGTGAGCTCTATTTTGGGTGCAGAATTATCTCAGGTAATCCCACAACACTGCTGGTAGCATCCTAGGAAGTGGTTTCAAGCAAGGAAAGATCAACATTGGAGCTGATTTTTTGGTGTTGCAGAATGATCCCTACTGGTGTGCACAAAATGCTGCTACTGTAGCCACTGTTTACAATAGTTTAAAGTCCTCATTCCCGAAAGCTGTGAGACTTGTTTGCTTGTCCAAAAATCAATAAATCCTTCTTTGAGAGAAGCCAAAGCTACATTGCTCCACTTTCCTCTTTCTTTTGGGTAAATTGTATTAGTTTCTTACTTCCAATTCTTGTAACAAGGCCATTAAGCAAGTGACTTGGAAGAATTCACAAGTGTTCTTCCATCACTTGCACACTTGACTCTTTAATTCTTCATTAAAATTGGTAGACAGTGAGTGTGTCTTGGATCCAAAGTTCCAAGCCTCACCTAGGAGACCTCACTTCTTTCAATTCTTTTAAGCAAGTAGGAAAAGTCTTGGAGTCTGCTCTTAAACACTAGTGGAAAAATAGCATATAACGTCACGCGTTCAACGTCGTTGCACTCAATATCCAACGTTAAAAACGACTGGTGACTTTTTAGCAAATAAATTGAATCGCTCCACGTCAATTACTATAATAGTGCGCTGTATAAAATGTATTAACGTCAAACAAGAAGCATATCGATGTAATCTAAAATGTATTAACGTCAAATAAGACCCAGATCGACGAAAAACAATTACCTTAGAATCACATAACGTCAACTTAAGAAACATCTGACATTCAGTTTAAAATAAAAAAATAACGAAATAGTGGTTTGCTTCCAGCAGTATTACTCCTACCCACATTTTTTGTCAACCATGACAAATATTTGACGTTTTATATGCCAGGATGAAGCCAAAGAGTAAATCCTTTTTTTATTCTTTATTTCTTTTCTCTTATAAACCAAACAGAACGTCCCACACTTTATGGGGTCGACGTTTAAAACAATATAGAATGTTGAACAAGTTGGAGTTGGACGTGCTGGTCGTAATCACATAACGTCACTAAGGAAGTAGCTGACGTCCAATACAAAATAAATAAATATTCTCTTCAAAATTGGTTTCAAGGAAGAAGTTGGTGCGGTCTTCATTTAGTGCAGGTGTGCTTCCAGAACTTTGAACCATATTCTCTTCATCCTTGAAGCACCATCCTTTTGTGGTCTTCACAAGGCCAATGTAAGTTAAGGTGTTTCGATTTATCACATTTGAGCAGTTACAAGAGCATTTTTTTTCACCACTAACATCCACACCTTGAAGGGTCAGGATTTTGCTGATAAACACAACATATGAGATGTCGTGCATGTTTGGTTCTTGCATCAATCATATGATCTTTTATTACTTCCACCCAATTGGTAGGAACATCATTCTTGATGGCATATTGACAACAGTTGAAAAACTATTATTTTTATACTTAAAATTGATATAAAAAACAACCTTTATGACTAGAAACTAGCTTGAAATCATGCATTTGCTTATGTTTTTAGAAATAAGAGAGTTGGACAGGTTTTATGCTTAATTTCCTTGTTTTTGCAAGTTTTTGAGATGAATTTGATGAAACAAGTGAAGTGGGACAGAGATGGAATCAGAAAAGGACACAAAAAGTGCAAAAGAAGAGAAGCCGCAAGTACCGCTCAGAGCCAATTACCGCTGAATGGCACTTTCAAGGACCCGTTGGCACCGTTGAGGGGTAAAAATGCAGCTGAGGGGCAAAATAGAAGACATGTTGTTGCCGCTTGATAACAGTTGAAAAACTGTAATTTTCATGCTTAAAATTGATACTAAAAGCAACCTTAACACTAAGAAACTAGCTTGAAATCATGCTTTTGTTTATATTATTGGAAATAAGAGAGTTGGACAGGTTTATGCTTGATTTCAGTGTTTTATGCAGGTTTTAAGGTGAATTTGATGAAAGAAGTGAAGAAGGATAGAGATGGAATCAGAAAAGAATTCATAAAGTGCAAAAGAAGAGAAGCCGCAAGTACCGCTCAACGCCAGTTTACTTCTGAGCGGCACTAATAAACACCCGTTGGCACCGCTGAGGGGTGAAAGTGCAGCTGAGGGGAAGAATACAACACACGCACTTACCGTTGAGCGCCATCATTTTGGGCTTGGGCCTACTTTTTTGTAATATTTCGAATAGTATATAAGCTTTAGGACATCCTAGGGTTTGTATCTTTGACTGGAGAAGAAGCAAACACTCACCTTTCCACCCCTTGGAGGAAGATCTTGGATGCTAAGGCTACCTACTCAACTTTCTAGGGTTCTATATTTCACTCTTTCATTGTATTTCATCTAGTTTCACCATGAATATGGAGAACTAAACTCTTCTTGTTGTTGGGGAATCAATGTAATCTTTTGAAGCTCTCATATATGGAATTTGTGTTTAAACATCTTATTTGAGATACATGCTTTCTTTCATTATTAGTTAAGGTTTTTCTTCTTTGCTCAAAGCATGCATTGTTTAACTCATTCGATGTCATGATTATTGATTTTATCGATATGGACACATACGGGGAAATCTAGGTGCAGGGAAATTCTCCCAATAGAATATTGCCTAGACATAGGGATATGAGGGTTGGTTGCCTTTAAGCTACTGTGCTTCAGAATTAATTATTAGGGATGCTAGGAATTGTATGAACTCGTAATTAAGGATAGGCTTTCTTCGAAAGGTAATTTAGAGAGTGGCATTAACATTGATGAAAAGAATGATACATTCCTAAAATATATGAGAGTGGATAAGATGAAATTGATTACCCTAACAACATACTCATCCATATAATTCGTTCAGTGTTTGTGTTCTTCTTTCCCATTGATCATCACATGCATACATGTTTAATTCTTATCTTTTGCATTTGAAACTTATACCAATTTGTTCAAGGGTCTTAAATAATCAAGAATAGGTCGTGAGTCCTTTGGGAGAACGATACTTGGTCTTACCGAGTTTATTACTTGATACGATTCGGTCACACTTGCCGAGGGTTAAACAAGTTTTTGGCGCCGTTTTTCGGTGTTCATAAATTTGTCATCACCGCTGAGCGGTATTTATCGCTGAGCGCCATTTTTATGGGCTTGGGCTCACTTTTTTGTAATTTTTAGAATACTATATAAGGTTTTAGTTAACCTAGGTGAAGGATCTTTGGCTGGGACGAAGCAGAAACACACACCTTCAACCCTTGGAGGAGGATTTTGGATGCTAAGGCTCCTTTCTTACTTTCTAGGGTTCTATCTTTTCACTCTTTCATTGTATTTCATCTAGTTTCACCACGAATATGGTGAACTAAATATTTATTGTTGTTGGGGAGTAAACAAGATCATGGTGTTTATAATGCAAAAAATAAATATGAATGCAAGTGTTGATCAATTGACTTGAAGAATGCACAGGTGATTGGTGTATAAAGTATGAAATGATTATGTGTTGGGGTTTCCGACTTATCCTATCCACTCTCATGTATTATTGAATTCATCTTCTTCATTAATGTTAATGTCACTTTCTAATTTACCTTAAACCCGATGTCTCGGTGAAGAAAGCCTACTCTTAATCACTAGATCACAATGTCTTTTATCCCTAGCAATTAATTATGCATTACATTCGCACAGAAGCTTAAAGGCAATCAACCCTCCTATCCCTATGTCTAGGTAATATTGTTTTTGGGAGAATTTCCCAGTTCTAGATTTTCCCATATGTGTCCATATCGACAAAATCAATAATCATGCAATTGAATGAATTAAACAAAGCATGCATAGAGTGTAGAGGAAAAACCTTAACAATTAATGAAGTAAAGCATCTATAATATAAATTAATTCAATACATGAGANCCGCTCAGCGGTAAAATACCGCTCAGCGGTGAGTGCGTGACTTGTTTGCTCCCCTCAGCGGCCATTTTGCCCCTCAGCGGACCTCCCGCAAGCTCCTGAGTGCCGCTCAGCGGTAAACTGCCGCTGAGCGGTGACTTCGGCTTCTCCTTTTGCACTTTTTATTGTCTTTTCTGATTTCATCTCTCTCCTTCTTCACTTCTTTCACCAAATTCACCTTAAAACCTGCACAAAAACACTGAAATCAAGCATAAACCTGTCCAGCTCTCTTATTTCTAAAAACATGAGGAAAAGCATGATTTCAAGCTAGTTTCTAAGTGTAAAGGTTGCTTTTAGTGTCAATTTTAATCATGAAAATAACAGTTTTTCAACTGTTATCACCAAGCAAGGTAACTTGAACTATAGCTTCTGAGAACTTCCTCTGACAAACAGTATTCTGCAAGAGCTTTTGTTCAACAACTTCTTCTTTTGATCTTCACAGAAACCCAATATATAGCTAGCTGTTCTGAATATATAAGGTTAAGTCTCAACTGCCACGAATAATCGATTATTGTAAGTGATAATCGATTATTCAAGTCCGTTACAGGTTATTGTAATGTGATAATCGATTATATGAGGTGATAATCGATTATTCCTGGATGACTTTGTGATAATCGATTATTGCCATTCCATAATCGATTATTGCAGTTAAAAATGCAAGTTTTACAAAGTTTACAAGACTTTCCTACTATATTTAATTTCTACAAATTGCTTTTAAATAATTCTAATATCTTCTTCAACTAAAACTTCTTGCAGCATCATCAAAACAATTTTCTTCAAGATTTACCAATACTCCTTATTGGTAACACATTTGACGTCAACCATGACAAATATTTGACGTTTTATATGCCAGGATGAAGCCAAAGAGTAAATCCTTTTTTTATTCTTTATTTCTTTTCTCTTATAAACCAAACAGAACGTCCCACACTTTATGGGGTCGACGTTTAAAACAATATAGAATGTTGAACAAGTTGGAGTTGGACGTGCTGGTCGTAATCACATAACGTCACTAAGGAAGTAGCTGACGTCCAATACAAAATAAATAAATATTCTCTTCAAAATTGGTTTCAAGGAAGAAGTTGGTGCGGTCTTCATTTAGTGCAGGTGTGCTTCCAGAACTTTGAACCATATTCTCTTCATCCTTGAAGCACCATCCCTTTGTGGTCTTCACAAGGCCAATGAAAGTCAAGGTGTTTCGATTTATCACATTTGAGCAGTTACAAGAGCATTTCTTTTCACCACTAACATCCACACCTTGAAGGGTCAGGATTTTGCTGATAAACACAACATATGAGATGTCGTGCATGTTTGGTTCTTGCATCAATCATATGATCTTTTATTACTTCCACCCAATTGGTAGGAACATCATTCTTGATGGCATATTGACAACAGTTGAAAAACTATTATTTTTATACTTAAAATTGATATAAAAAACAACCTTTATGACTAGAAACTAGCTTGAAATCATGCATTTGCTTATGTTTTTAGAAATAAGAGAGTTGGACAGGTTTTATGCTTAATTTCCTTGTTTTTGCAAGTTTTTGAGATGAATTTGATGAAACAAGTGAAGTGGGACAGAGA